AAAGCTAGTAATGAGACTGGCAGTCTGGAACTCAGAATTCCTGAACTCTGTTTCCAAAAACATTCTTCCTGTGATTCTTTTTTTTAAATATGCTTTTATTGATTTTTTAGAGAGAGAAATAGAAACATCCATCTGAGAGAGAGACGTCGATCAGCTGCCTCCTGCATGCCCCTCACAGGGGATCGAGCCTGCACCCCAGGCATGTGCCTTGACCGGGAATCAAACGGGGACCTCTCAGTCTATGTGATGAGCTCAATTCACTGAGCCACACCAGCCAGGCTCCTGTGATTCTTTTATAAATATCATTATAGAAAATATGGCAAAGAAAAGCCAAAAAAATAAAAAGGAAATTTAAAAAATCACCTATAAAATTGGAATGGGTGAAGCTAGTGCCCACATAGATCTGGAGATATAGAAATGTAGTTGATAAAACTTAGGCAATCTGGCTATATCAAAATTGAGAATGAATAGTGACTCCACATCTAGGAATCTATTGTACATGATGCTTTAAGCAAAGATGTATATACATGGATTGTCATTAGATCATCGTTATTAACAGTAAAAGATCGGAAGCAACCTGCATGTCCATCCGTGGGGAACTAGATCAAGCATGTGTCAGGGGCAAGTAACAGGAAGTCTGCGTAGCAGAAGCTGAAATAAAGAGGGGCTTACATTTCTCACATCAAGTCTGGAGGCAAGCTTCGGCTGGCATTGGTCCAGTGAGCACAGTCAGACCCAGCCTCTCTAATTCCCTTGGCATTTCCCTCGTGGTTGAAAAATGATGCACTTACACTCTAGATATCACATCAGAATTCTAGGCAGGAAGGGGAAAGGAGCGCTATGTGTTCTCTTTGTGAGAAAAGCGAGAGCTCTCCTAAAAGCCTCCTAGCCGACTTCTGCTTTGTACTCATCGTCCAGAGCCATATCATGTGGGCAGATGGGCTACAAGGGAGGATGGGAAAGCAAGTATTTAGAGATCCAGCCTCTATAGTAGCAAGGGTAAAAAGATTGGGAATGAGTGTTAGATTAGCCAGCCAATAGTTTCTGCCATAGGAGCTGGCCATTAAACTATGGAATAACTGAATGATATAACATGATGCAGCCAAGATAGTAAGATAGAGTACCTACAAAGAATCCCCTCACCCCACCACCGCCCCTCGGCTGAGATCCAGGCTTGGTCTACTGAACACCCTGCTTGTGGAACCTGCTAAAAATTCACCCTCGTGGCTGAAAAACCACCTGCTAGGATGCTGGAAAAATCTCTTCACGGAAAGGGGCATCTCACTGAGGCACCTGCTATGAAAGCACATAAGCAGAGAGGTACTGGGTAGCTGCTGACCGCTAGATGCTGCTGGAGCCTGTGCACAGCAGGAGCCCGGTGCAGGAGAAGCCATCCTCTTTCTCTTCTCTGGGAAACTCTTTATATGGCCATCAATTCTAAATGACAGCTTTGCAGGATAGAGTAATCTTGGTTGTAGGTTCTTACATTTCATCACTCTGAATATTTCTTGCGACTCGTTTCTGGCCTGCAAAGTTTCTTTTGAGAAATCAGCTGACAGTCTTATGGGAACCCCCTTGTAGGTAACTAATTGCTTTTCTCTTGCTGCTTTTAAGATTCTCTCTTTGTCTTGAACCTTTTGCATTTTGATGATGATGTGTCTTGGTGTGGGCTTCTTTGGGTTTATCTTGTTTGGGACTCTGTGCTTCCTGGACTTGTATGTCTGTTTCCTTCACCAAGTTAAGGAAGTTTTCTGCCATTATTGTTTCAAATAGGTTTTCAATTTCTTGTTCTCTCTTCTCCTTCTGGCACCCCCAAGATGCAAATGTTGGTATACATGAAGTTATCCCAGAGGCTCCTTACACTATCCTCATTTTTTTGTATTTTTTCTTTTTGCTGTTCTGATTGGGTGTTTTTTGCTTCCTTATATTCCAAATTGGTGGGTTGCTTCTTGGCTTTACCTGCTCTACTATTGAATCTGTGTAAATTGTTTTTTATTTCAGTTAGTGCTTCCTTCATTTCTGACTGTGCATCCTTCATTTCTGACTGCTCCTTTTTTATGCTCTTGAGGCCCTCACTAAGTTCACTGAGGTTCTCACTAAGTTCATTGAGCATCCTTAAAAGCAGTGTTTTGAACTCTGCATCTGTTAGGTTGCTTATCTCCATTTCGTTTAGTTCTTTTCCTGGAGCTTTGTTCTGTTCTTTCATTTGGAACCTGTTTCTTTGTCTCTTCATTTTGGCTGCCTCCCTGTGTTTGTTTCTGTGTGTTACTTAACAAGAGGTATGGGTGCTAGCTGAGACCAGATGCTGCTTGTTTGAAAGAATTTAGGAAAACCTGAAGCAGGATCCAAGACAGGCCAATCCTATGGTAAAGCAACTGGCAACAGCTTGGGTGGGACTGAAAGTTGGTTGGGGCAGGGTGTCAGGGAATCAGCAGGGTGGGGCAAACAGTGTGAACCAAGTTGCTGGAGTCCCAGATGTGGTAGCCATCTGCTGCCTCGGGAAAAGGCTCACCAAAGGAACAAAGGCCTCTGATAGCACATCTGTCCAGGGGAAAGCCGCCTCTCCAGCCCTCATTCCAATGCCAAACTACTCAGTTCTTCCCCATGTCTCTGGTGCCTTTCAAGCTGCCTCCTCCACACTGGGGCTTGGAGGATGCACTTCTGAGTAAGTCCATGCACGGGCCCTTTAAAAGGAGCTGCCTGGGGCTCCAGCTGCCTCAGCATCCCTCAGCCTCAGTTCCTGCTGGTTTTTCGAGCCAGAAGTTATGAGGACCTCTCTTCCTGGACTGGAACCCAAAGCTGGGCACCTGGTGTGGGACAGGGACCCCTCAGTCCTCAGTGAAGACCTTCCCAGCCAAGGTATCCTTCTAATTTTTTTCTGCCACACATGAGTGTGGGACCAGCCCGTACGCCTCTGGCCCTTTTACAAGTCTCGATGTGGCTTCTTTAATTTTGTAGTTGTAGGACTTCCATTCAGCTTGATTTAAGGTGGTTTTAAATGATGGTTCTGTAGTTTAGTCATAACTTTGATGTGGTTGTAGGAGGACATGATACCGAGTCTACCTATGCCACCATCTTGCCCAGAAGTCCTGTTTTTTTTTTTTTTTTTTAATTGATGAGAGAGTGATTGATTGATTGGTTGTTCCACTTATTTATGCATCCATTGGTTGATTATTGTATGTGCCCTGACAAGGGATTGAACTTGGCATATCAAGACAATAATCTAACCAGCTGAGCTACCTGGCCATGGCTAAATCTGAATTTTTTATTTGTTTGTTTTTTATTGATTTTTGAGGGAGAGAGAAATAGAAACACTAATATAAGAGAAATATATCGATTGGCTGCCTCCTGCACCTCCCCTACTGGGGATGGAGCCCACAACCTCAGCACGTGCCCTGACTAGGAATCGAACCAGGACTTCTCTGTCCATGGGACGACGCTCAATCCACCGAGCCACAGCAGCAGGGCTACACCTCTTTTTAATAAGCTCTCCAAACACTCTGTTGATGGAGAGATCTTTGAAACTAAGATTCAGTCCATTTGGCAGAATCCTTGGATATTCCAAGGACAGAAGAGCCGTGTGTGTGTGTGTGTGTGTGTGTGTGTGTGTGTAGATGGGTGTGCGTGTGTGTAGATGGGTGTGTGTGTGTGAAATTCCAAATGTTGGCAAGCCTGTTTCTCTGGAAGTGTCCTAGAGCATCTGCCTCCATCTGTCTTCATCCTCATGTCTTTGTTGCTTCATTTTCCCACCTCTCTCTGTGGCTGCGCCTCAGTCTGAATATCTCTGCCTCTCCAACCATGCTCACTCTTGTCTTCCAACTTTTGTACTTGCTATTCCGCCTGCCTGCCTCCTTCCCAAATTACTCATCTTCTTTCATCATGTAGGGCTAGATAATGAGTCACCCCAAGATGAGCCTATGATATGTGGATTATATTCTGCTAAAGGCAACTGAGTCCCATTACACTCAAGAGAAACTTCTGTGCTGTCTCCCTCCCCCAACTACCTTGAAGAATTTAAATTAGGGGCCTTGCCCCTAATAAGATTTATCACCAGAAATAATTTTCTATGACCTATCTCTATGTCTAATTACTGAACTTCTGCTCTTCTTGTTCTGAGAATGACCTTCCTCCCCTCTGAAGCGGCAAGTACCTGACCTCATCCTTAGCTCAGAACATCATATATTCCTCCTTTCCCCCTTCAATCTCAGATCTCTCAGGTAGGTTGGGTCTCTGACTCGCTCATGTGTGTGGGGTTCCCATACGTAGGTATGTTATTAAATTGGGTTATTTTCTCTCATTAATCTGTCTCACGACAATTTAATTATTAGACCAGCAGAAAGAACCTTAGAAAGTAAAGTTTTTTCCTCCCCCAGAATCAGATGAACACCTACTCCTGTGAGTCTCCTCTCTTCAAGAACGGCCCGGCCTGCTCTTCCCACCCCACACTCCCCGGTCTGAGTTAGAGATCGCGTCTCTGCTCCCACGACACATTCCCTTAACACTGCAGTACCAAGGCATGCTTCCGTGGCTCCCTCCTTGGCTGTCTTTTCCGCGACTGCATTTCGGATGCCTAGCACAGTGCCGGTTCATGGCTGGGACTCCTTAAAGAGTGACTGAGTGAACCCCTGACGTCGTCCCCTTTAGGGAGGGCCAGGATCTGTCCTGCGCACGACGGGGCCCTTGTATTCCCAGCCCCCATTCGGAGCCCGAAACGAAGCAAGCACGCTGAACCCGGCCAGCAGGCGGTGGCGGCCAGCCCAGCGCTTCTCTCCGCCTCGCTCTGAGTGGCGGGTGTCCCGGGCCACGCCCGCCGGAAGAATGCCCACTGGCCCCCGCGGTCTGGCCGCTCCGGCCTGCCGGGCCGGGGGCGGGGCCTAATGCCGGCCGGCGGGGCCTGGCCGCGGGGGCGGGGCCTGGCCTGCGGGGGCGGGGCCTGGCCTGCGGGGGCGGGGCCTGGCCTGCGGGGGGCGGGGCCTGGCCTGCGCGGGGCGGCCCCGGGCTCTCACACCCGGAAACGCCGCGGCGCCCGCGCTCAGAACCTGGAGAAGCGTCGCAGCCGCCGCCGCCCACCACCGCTTCAGTCATGCCGGTAAGTGGCCGTTCCGCCCCGGGCCGTGCGGGCCCGCGGCCCCCGGCTGGCCTCTCGGCCGCACAGCTACTGGGCCATGGGTCGCTCCTCAAGGGCTCGGGCCGCGGCCGGAGCTGTGGCCCCTCTGCTCGGCCCTCCGCACCAGCCCCGGCTTCGGCCGCGCTCCGGAAAATCGGAGGAGAGTCAGGCTGCGAAAGATTGAATGCAGGGCCTCCAGCGACTGCAGGCCCGGGCCTTCTGCACAGACGGGGACGCTGACCCCGAGAGGGGCAGGGAGTAGCCGAGATTTCCGGAGCGGGTGGGGGCTGAGGGGTCCCTGCGCCTCCCACCTGGGTACACCTGCCCGCCCCGCTGGCCTCCAGAGAGGGACGGCGGTTGGGGGGCGGTGGGGGAGGGCGGGGTGGCTGCTGCCTTTCGGACCGGCAGGTTTGCAGAGGTCCGTGTTTTTCTTCCCTTCCCCGGCTTACTCTGGCCGACTTTCAGGTCAGTGCCCGGTGACACTGAATGGAGACAGTGCTTTTACCGGTCACTTTCTGACCCTGAGCCCTTGAGCCCCAGAGAGGTTCAGGGACCTGCCCAAAGTCACCAGCTGCTCAATGGCAGAGTTTGGGGAGGAATGAGCAAGTCTTTGCTGGTCTTTGCAGCTCACTCAGTCTTTCTGCATGTTTCTGGTTGCCCCTGGCCTCATTTTCTAGATAAGAAATTAAGGCCTTGTCCTGGCCCCTGTGGCTCAGAGGGTTGGGAGGGCGTGGTCCCAAGCACTGAAAGGTTACCAGTTCAGGGCACGTGTGGTAGGGGGCCTGCAGGGGGCAGCCATGGAGATAACCGCTCTCTCGTTGATGTTTCTCCCTCTCCCTCCCTCCCTCTCTCTCTCTAAAAATCAACAAAAATATCTTTAAAAAAGAAAAAGAAATTAAGGCCTTTTGGCTCACGTTGCCTCTTGGGAGCATGCCCCTGCCCCTCTTCATTCCCCCAGGTGCATTACCTTTGCCTTTCTCTCTCCTAAGCTCCAAGGGCCCTACTTTTGCTTCTGTGACTTGTTTCAGAAGCCCAGCTGGCTCACTTCTACTACTTCTGTAACTTTCTAAATAGAATTTCTCTTATAATTTGAAAAAAAAGAAGAAGAAAGAAATGAAGGTCTTTTGCAAATACAAAAAAAAACTCAAAAGCTCATAACTTACTCAAAGTTGTGTTGGGATTAATCCAATCCCCTTATTTTCAGACTCCCAGTCTCTCCTGGCCTGGCCACATGGTAAGTCCTCCCTAGTCACATTGGCTAGGGAGGAAGCTTTGGTCCCATTTGCATCCTAGAGATCTTGTTTGGGTCATGCAGTGTTTAGCACTGTCCCCCACGGTGCCTAGTTCACAGCTCTGCCCCAAGTGAGTACTCAGAGGTGTCTCACAGAGGCTCTGTTTCTTAGCAGCCTAGCTTTGGGGAAGGTGACAGGTGAGCCAGAGAGGCCCCCTGGGCCAAGACAAACATCTCAGGTGTCATTTCCCTTGGGTCTTGCCAGGTGCCATAAGACAAATCCTCAGACAACACAAAGTGTTGACTGAGAACCTGACAGCATCAGCCCTCCCAGTTGAGCAGATCTGCCTGTGGCAGTGTTAGAGGGCAGCATTAATCACCCTGGGACTGGGAGAGGAGGCCACCCGGTTCTGTGGGGTGTGGCAGTAAGAGGAAGGCCAGCCTGAGGATCACTATCCTGTGTCCACTCTGGGGATTTAGACAGACAAAAGACCCTTCAGAGGGATGCCTGATGTCAAGAGGGCACTTGGCGCCATAGCACTGAGGCAGGGAGGGGGGAGCCTGTCACCTGAGAAGTGTCTCAGACACTTGGAATCTCAGAAACCTTTTTGAAAATCTGCTCCTGCTTGCCAACCAGATGACCTCGGTTAAGCTGCTTTACTTCTCGGTGCCTTGATTTCCTTATCTGTAAAATGGGGATAAAAACTGACCTAATAGGACTGTTAGTATTAACTGGAGAACTGCCAGTAAAATATTCGGCACAGCCACTGACATAGCTAATCCACAAGAAATGGTAGCTCTTGTGTAGACCTAGGACAAGTAGGGTAGGACTACAGGCAGGCAGATTACAAATCCCATTTTAACAAGGATCATAGTGGTTAAGAGTTTAGGCTCTGGAGACTGTCCCACTAGCCTTGTACTCACTAGTAGTGTCACATTGAGTGAGTGGCCTAACCTTTGAACCTCAACCTCCTCATTTGTCAGGAAGGGATAATTGTGATGATTCAACAATGTAATTCATGGAAGGTGCTTAGAACAATTTCTGGTACAAGGAGGCACTCAAGCTTTAGTAGTAGTAAGCTCTCAGTATTCAGGGTGTTCAAAGACTGAAGAGATGAGAAAGAGCTCCTCTGAGAGGAGCTGGACAAGGTGACTCCCCTCTATTCCCTTCCTTCCAGTTCTGAGATTCTGTGAAAGAGTTGTTCAACTTACCGGACTTTTTCATCGACTTTGAAGGACCCATTTCATAGGTGACAGAGCAGAGGCTCTGAGGGGCTGGAACTGGGCAAAGTCAAGCATTCAGTGGCGGCCGTTGCTGGGGTTCTCTGTGAAGAAAGTTTTACTCTGTCTGTTAAGTAGATTTTCCACCGCACCCCCAAATTTACTTTTGTAACTCAGAGGTGGAGGAGGAGAACACTGAATTGTAATGTCTGCCACCCAGAAGCCATGTCCTGGCTTCTGACCTCTGTTCTGGGGAGGGTGAAGGAGACCCGTTATCTGTGGTCTTCAGCAGAAAACCTCAGATATCTGTTGACTTTAAGCCCTTGGGCAGCAAAAGCTCATGCTACTTCACAAGGTGTTCCCACATTCAGCGTTCCTGCTAAGATTCAGAGTTGTGGGGGGTGGCAGGTGGCAGTGCTATTTGCTGGCCCAGAACTAGCAAGATGCCCCTGGAGCCAGGAAAGCCTGGGTTCTCTCCCCAGCTTCAGCACATACTGGCCATGTGACTGCAGGCAGTTTAATCAACCCTTGGGAACCTCAGCTTCCTCCTGAGTGAAATAAGCTGCTGGCTCCCTTTCCAGGCTGGGTGAGGACTAACTCAGATGCGGGGTAAAGAGAGTTGGCATAGTGGACACACAATACATTCAGGTCTTATATCAATCTTGCGAATCCTTTAAAGGTTGGGATGGGTGTACAAGTGCAAACCATTGACACATCTTGACTGTTTGTTCTAGAGCAGGAGTCAGCAAACTTTCTTAAAGGACCAGATAGTACCTAGCTTGGGCTTCGAAAACAATGCGGTCTGTTACAACTACAGGCATACCTGGTTTTATTTGCACTTTGCTTTATTGTGCTTCACGTATATTGTGTTTTTAACAAATTAAAAGCTGGACCCTCCACTAAGCAAAAGGATTACAACTTGCTCTATTGCAATACCCACTATCTTGCGGTGGTCAGGAATCGAACTCCCAACCTCTCCAAGCTGTGTCTGTACTGGGGATGTAGCAGTGAAGTAAACAAAGCCTCTGTCTTCTGGGAGCTCAGTTTGTTAGATATCATGGAGACTGGATGTCAGGCCCCATGGAGCATCCAGGAGCCTGGGTTCCCTTATTGGTCTGCCCTCCAACTCACTGGGCGCCTGTGCAAATCCACTCCCTTCCCAGGATTTAGGAGCTGCCTCTGAGAAAGGCATTCAGATGAGGACAGTGGTCATCATATATCAGAATCTCCTGGGAAGCTTTCTAGCCATTGTAGATGCCCCAGCTCACACTTGCTCATCAGAACCCATAGTTATTGCCATAGTGGTGATTCTAATGCAAAAGGTGATCTGATGCAGAAATAAGACCATCAGCCCTGGCTGGTTTGGTTCAGTGGTTCGTGCATCAGCCTGTGGACCAAATAGTCCCGGGTTTGATTCTAGCCAAGGTCATGTACCTCGGTTGCAGTTTGTCCCTGGCCCCGGTTGGGGTCATGTGGGTGGCAACCAGTCGATGTGTCTCTCTCACATTGATGTTTCTCTCTCTCTCTCTCTCTCCCCCCCCCTCCCACTCTGAGGATAAATGTATTTAAAAAAAAAGAAAAAAGAAAAAGAAATAAGACCATCAGAGCAGCATGGCTCTGAAGATGGGCGTCCACCCATGTCAGAGTTGATGGTCCTGACATAACCCCTTAGCTCCAAAATCAGGATTTTGAACACGAGACTAGAAACCAACACTTGAAACTAACTTCCCAGCTGATTGAACTCACTGTGTGCCAGCAAGGTGAAAGGGATTATCTCATTTAATACAACAGCTTGTGAGATAACTGTTGAAGAGAGCCAGGCCCAGAAACAGGCCACTGGTGAGTCTGACAACAGCCAGATCTTACGCTGTGTCTTGGCCCGTGAGTGGGCCTGCATGCTGGTGGGATGTGCGGGTCTTTCTGCAGGACTTGGCTCATGGTCTCCTTCGTTTGTTTCAGAAGCACGAGTTCTCTGTAGACATGACTTGTGAAGGCTGCGCGAATGCAGCCACTCGGGTCCTCAACAAGCTAGGAGGTGAGTGAGTGGCCCTCCGTTGGGGGTTGAGGTGGGGGAGACTAATAAACTTTATATTGTGTTCAAATGCATGCAGACACGGAGAGAAGCTTGGGTTTAAGCTGATAATAACAGTAAAACTAACATGTGTTGAGTACTTAGCATGTGCCGAGTACTCTCCTTTGTGGCTTTCATTTAATCCTCACAAACATTTAGGTAACTTCTTTGGCTGTCTCCATTATAGCAGGAGGGAACTGAAGTTCAGAGAGGTTAAGTAACTTGAATGGGATCACACAGCCAGTAAGTGGCAGACGTGCTGTCTAGCTCCAGAGCCCTGTCAGTACTAGTTAGTATGTTGGTGATCTCCAGTGGGATAACTTTTGTTATGTGACACATTTGAGTGTCATTTTCTATTAAGATTTTAAAAATTGTAACAGTTTCAAAAATAAACTTTGAATCATTCATGTGTAGAACTCCTAAAGCTCCTCTTTGGGGCATATTTAGAAAACCATTATTCTCATCCAGCCCCCTGAACTCTCAGCTGGGGAAACTGAGGCCCAGACAGGGCTGAGGTCTGGCCCTGGGGCTCCAGGAGGTATTGATTAAGTTGCGATAAGAATTCTGGTAGTGCCGGGGCAGTCAGTCTTCTAAGACTTTCATTTGTAAAACCCTAGATGATCATAAGACCGAGAGGACTTAAAGCAGTCCTCTGAGCCATACGTTCCGTCTGTGGAATGGGGATTTTGACACCAGTGCCCCGAGGGGAAGTGACTTGTCCGAATTCCCAGAGTGAGTCACTGGCTGGTTTCTAGGCCTGAATTTGAAAGAAACAGTGGAAAGAACCTGGCTGCTGACTTGTCATGTGACTGCGGTCTCTTCTCCCCCAGGTCTGAGTTTTCCCAGCTGTAACATGGGAATGTCTGTCTGTACCTGCTTTTGCGGTGGATACTTTAAGTGAACTCCTGCCCAGAAGCCCCTCATATATAGAGTGACATGGTCTGGATGAGATGAGGGTGGGTCTGCTTTTTGACAGCACATCTGCCTAGGAACGTGGACTTCAAAGAACACAACTTGAAATCCACTGTCAGGTGGTCCCAGAGCTTCTTCCAGCTCTAAAATACGTATTCCAAAGCGGAAGGAGACACTTTTGAACCAAAGACAAAAGCCCAGAGTGCAGCACAGACACATTGTAGCACCTGCCCACCCCACCTCTCCATTAGGTACAAATTCAGACCTTAGGACTAATCCCTGTGCATGTGATTGTTAAGGCCCCCTGACATGCTTGGGGATCTGCCTTTGAACTTGGGCAGGTTTGTCCCCATCTTTCACTACTGCCCTCCTCCCCCTTGGGCAGCCTCTTCAGTTGGAACAGAAGGATTTCGAGTTGGCTGGGGCCCTAGATGAGTAGTCCTGGGCCCGAGGAATCACAGACTAATGGCATACTTGAATTTGGAAAAACCACAGAGGCTGGCCAACCCCAACTCCTTCATATAAATGGGAAAACTATAATGGGCAGCACCCAGCAAGACAGTGGTGAAGCCACACTTAGAACCTAAGGGCTTCTCTCTGCATGCTGCTGTCTCAGCAAGACTTGTTCTACATGCTCCCATGTGCTACTCCGGGGCTTTCGATCGGCACAGCCCTTGAGGGGTAATTTCGATGCAAAATCGATTAACATTGAAAAGGTGCCAGTCTGTTGCTCCACGATTTCCATTCTATGAACTCATGGTACTAAAATATTTTCACAGGTTTTATAAGCTATGTTCATGTATGTTTGCTGTGTCATAGCTGTGGTAAGAGGAAGAAACTGGAAGAGACCTCGATATCTTTCAGCAGGGGATTAAGTAGATGTGTGGTACATCCACAGTAGGGAACACGGTGCAGCTGTTATAAAAAAGAATGACGTGCTCAGCCCGTGTGGCTCAGTTGAGGCTCATCCCATGCACCAGGAGGTCACCCGGTTCAGTTCCCAGTCAGGGCACATGCCTGGGTTGTGGGCCCGATCTCCAGTGGGGGCATACAGGAGGCAGCCAATTGATGTTTCTCTCTCATTGGTGTTTCCATCTCTCTCTTCCCCTTCCTTCCTCTCTCTAAAATAAGTAAAAACATATTAAAAGAAAGAAAAAAAAAGAATTAAGTATTCTGTTTGTGCTAAAATGGCAAGATATCCTGGCCATTGGAAAGTGAAATACAGCAAGACCTATTTGTGTAGTATGATGCCATTTGGGAGGGTTATTTTTCACGTCTCTCAGGGAGAAAGACTGGAGAGATGCCACACGGTTCGTGGTGATCTCTAGAGGCTGAAGAGAGTAGAGGCCTCACAATTTCAAATTTTATTCAGAGATGTTTTTTAATGGTGTGTCACTGTTACTTTTGCAATTAGAAAAGAAACTTAAAAGAAGCCCTACCCTAGAGCAGGGATCAGCAAACTGTAGCCTTACGGGGAAAGTTTCCTGATCCCTGGCCTAGAGGAAAGGGTTAGAGTGGTTGTGAAGAAGAATTTCAGAGCCTGAACCCTTTCTCACTCTGAGTGTGAGTGTCTCTGCCTCCACCACCACCCTCGCCCACCCTCTTGCTCTTCCTTCAGGAGTTCAGTTTGAGATCGACCTGCCCAACAAGAAGATTTGCATCGACTCTGAACACAGCATGGACACTCTGCTGGAAACCTTGAGGAAAACAGGGAAGACCGTTACCTACATCGGCCTCAAATAGCGAGGGCCTGGACCCCGGGCCTGCAGGATGGACCAAAGTGGGCAGGTGGGCGAGGCCCCAGCACTTCAACAGAACAGTTCATTATCTAATGTAACCCACATGTCCAGGGAACCCTTACAGCCCCCAATGAGCAGAGCTTGCACTGTGTAATGTCTCCCAGGGCCGTTTTTGTTTGTTTGTTTAAGATTTTTTTATTGATTTTTAGAGAGAGAGGAAGGGAGAAGGAGAGAGAGAAACATCAATTGACTGCCTCCTGCACGCCCCCTACTGGGGATGGAGCCTGAAACCCAGGCACGTGCCCTGCTCCCGAATCAAACCAGCAACCTTTCGGTGCACGGGATGACACCCAACCAAATGAGACATACTGGCCAGGGCTTGCTTTTTTTTTTTTCATAGGAAGGCTCACACATCTGCACGTAGGGTACTGAAAATGAATCCCCATGTACCCATCACCCAGATCCAATCATAGTCCAGTCATTGCCATCATTGTTTCATCTATGGCCAACTCTCCCCACCCCCATATCATTCCATAGAACATTCTAGACATAATTTTATCTGCACATATGGCAGTAACCATGTGTAGTCTGGGGAGGCTCCCCACGATTCTGTTCATGGCGCTGGGTGAGAATCACCGGTTAAGTGCTTTGCCCTACACGCCCAGGCAGCATCTTTTCTGTCTCTGAGTCTGTTTTAACACCCCCCCCCCCATGACTGATTTCAATCCAGGTTTGGGAACCAGCACTAGAATGTTTATTGGTTATAACGTCACCTTGCTCACCTGGCTCTTGGAAGAATTGTTTGCCCATGATTTTGTTCGTTGCCTCCCCGGTGTAAGTTGAAACAGGACAGTGAGTACTGTCTCAGCAGCCCTGGGAGTTCCCCAGAAGAGGCCTCAGCAGTGACTGGCTTAGCAAGGTTCCTGGGTTCCAGTCAAGCTGAGAACAACAGACTTGGGAGCAGTGTGCAAGGCTGGACACGGCTTTTAGGGCTTCTCCAGCAACTGGGTTTCCCAGCTCACCTTCAGCAGCTGTCTTAGTGCGCCTTTACTGTTTCTGCAATGCTTCCATGTGCACAGCAGATGGCGCGCTTGTTCCACCTAACTTCTCATCTCTTCCAGGATCCTGATCCTCTCCTGTCTTCCAGACAGATCTGGAACCTGGCAATCCTGCTCAACGCCAGGCGTTCCTGTGGAGACCCTCGCTTGCCCTGCTCCTCCCTCGCTTCCCTGCAATAAAGTTGAACTGCTTTTGTTGATGTTGCCTCTCATGTCACTTGCTTACACTCTGCTGTGATGCTCACATGTTGCTATGAAGGAGATAACCGCAGTGCTTCCTCGGGTTGGAGTTCTAAGAGCTCCTGACTGGGAGTAAGAAGCCCAGTGGATTTTAATTTTTTGCTGTGTGATCTTTTGCGAGTCACTTACTCTCTCTGGGCCTCACTTTTCCTCATCTATACAGTGAAGGTGTTGGTTCAGATTGGTGATCTTACTTTTCTTCACTACTTTCTTAGACTTCACATGTTGAAGAAGGTGTGTCCTGTCAAGTCGATTCAAATCTTGACAGAAGAGTGGGTAGAAGCAGTGAAGACAGACTGCCTGAGACAGTCCCAGCACAAGTACCTCCCAGCGGGGCACATAACTCGATGTCCACAGGATAACGTGTGGTGATAGCATCTCCTGCAAATGGTGGCTGTGGGGACTAGACGAGGCGACATGTAGATCACTCAGAGCAGAGCTTGCCTGTTAGAGACCACTCTGCAAACATTCTCTATTCGCAAATGCATTTTTTTGCTTGTATTTCATTAATCAAAGATGTGTACATGCCCGGCCGGTGTGGCTCAGTGGTTGAGCGTCGACCCATGCACCAAGAGGTCACCAGTTTGACTCCCAGTCAGGGCACATGCCTTGGCTGTGGGCCAAATCCCCAGTGGGGGGCATGCAGGAGGCGGCCGCTCGGTATTCTGTCTCATTGATGTTTCTGTCTCTCCCTCTACTTTCCTCTCTCTGAAATCAATAAAGAAAAAACGAAAAGACCTGTAGAGATGTCAATTACAATTTCAGTTAGCCTAAAAATTAGGGTTCCAATCAACCTAAAAGTCTGCCTCACATCACAGAATTGATTAATCTATATCAAAACAAAGGGAATGTTTTAGTTTGTATAACTTTTTTTTCAGTATTTCTTTAAACCAACAGTTCTCAAACTTTTTTATCCTGACATCTGTTTACACTGAAAAATTCGAGTGGCTCAAAGTCCTTTTGGTTCTATATGGGCCATGTCATATTAGAAATTAAAACGGGCCCGGTCGGTGTGGCTCAGTGGTTGAGCACCAACCCATGCACCAAGAGGTCACCGGTTTGATTCCAAGTCAGGGCACACGGCCAGGTTGTGGGCCTGATCCCCAGTGGGGGGCATGCAGGAGGCAGCCAACTGATGTTTTCTCTCATTGATGTTTCTATCTCTCCCTCTCTCTCTAAATTCAATAAAGAATAAATAAATAAAATAAAAATGAATTTTTGAAACAGGACACAAACATGCATCCCATCAACCATCAGGACTATATGAGGTCATTGCACAGCATTGAGATTCTGGACATTTCACTGTGTGACTAAGAGAAAAAGGCATGCTATGAAAATAGTTTTTACTTCGTGTACCCTCTGAAAGGTCTTGGGGACCACACATTGAGAATCACTACTTCAACCATAGCCATTTGTTTGGCAGTGATGGGGCCCTGAGGTAAGACCTGGCTCTGTATTTGGCCATCTGCGACCTTGGACCGGTCACCTAATCTCTCCTTTATATGCACAATGCACAACACCTGTGCCTCAGGGAACATGGCGGCCAGAAATAAGACTTGATTTGGACTCTAAACTGTGCCAGCATAATTTTGGTTCCATTATGAAATTATTAAACAAGCCTCAGCCATTTCTGCCTTTGTGGTCCCTCATAGGCACGGACTTTCCCAGCCTTCCTGGTATCTGGGATCCTTGGCCACGAGATGGCAGTGTCCTTTGGATTCAGCCGTCCTTGGAGAAGTCTGTCTGTGGGCTCTGGGAATGGGAACTTGAGGAGGTTTTCCATTTTCACCGCTTCCCCAGGAGACCTGGTTCAGACTGGCTGGCCCACTGGGAACGCCTGAGGGTTGAGACACTGGTGCCTCTTTGGGCGAGCGGTCCTGGGAGGAGTTCGTTTCCTTTGGCTCTTTCCAGAGTCCAAGTTTCCAGCGGAGGCCCCAGAGGAGCCGGGGGCGCTCCGGGCCTGCCAGCAGCCCAGCTGGCTGTCCTTGGAACAAAGGAGATGGAGGGCAGGGCAGCGCTCCTGCAGGACGGGAGTGGGAGCAGCCCCCGGCCCAGCCCACCTTTCCCAGCCCCGTCCTGTCTCCCAGGGGTCCTCCTCCTGTTCCCGCTGAGCCGCTGTACCCACCTCCCCGCCCCGGCCTTGGCCCTGGCTCCATGCACACTCCTCTCCCTCCCTCACATCCCTCATCCTCCAGGAAGCCTCCATGACTGGAAGTCACTTGTTTCTCCTCTGGGCCCTCACAGCATTTCTCCCACCAGCTCCAGTATCACAGCAAAGCTCTGGGTCCACGTGTCTTTCCTGTCTTCAAGGATCAGGCCGGGCACCTGTTCCCTCAGTGCACAGAACAGGCGCTGAGGGTATGTTTGATGGACATGTAAGAACTTCCATTTGGGGGACATGTATCTGTCATGCCCTTGCATGAATCTCATTCCACCCTGTCTGGTCCCCATGACACAGTGGACCAGCCCGGTGGTATTAAGCCACGCTCCAGACTTCAGCAGATCTGTATTCAAATCCTGCTTCCACTATTTAATGATGACACGACCTTGGAAAAACCACTAATTCTTTTGCGCAACTCAGTCGTCCTCATCTGCACGGTGGGGATCTTCACAGTTCCCACCCCAGGTGACTACCGTGACTTAAGTAAGTCCCACCGCGTGCCTGATGCTTGATGACGACATTCCACACGTGAAGCTTTATGTTTGAACAAAAAGCTTCACGAGCCTACAATTTGAAGTTTGAAAACTGAAATTTGAAAAATTCGGATCTCAATCCTTGCAACCCTGGCAAACTGAAAAGTAAAAATGGGGCCTCGGGCCCTGCACCGCGTGGGAGGTGAGCACTGGTGTTCGGGACGTGGCCCTCACCGTGGCGTTCTTTAATTGGTGCCAGTCTCTTTAAAAACCCAAGTCTGTAATTTCTGGGGAGTGTCCCTCAGAGCTGCTTTTAGATCCCATGTCTTTAGGGCCTGTGGCCTCTGTTCAAGTGGACAAGTTTCCCATCTGCTTCCTACGAGGGGAAAGTCTGCAAATATGTCTGCGGCCGGGGCCTTGAAGTAAAGCCTCTGGAAGTAAGGCTGTTATTGCCACTGGTCTCCTGGTCACGCTTCCTAGCGTCCCAATCCTCCGGATCTGCGGGTCCCCAGACAGCTAGAAGCAGGCTCTGCAGACGGAGGGTCAGCCCCAGCCCGGCTGTTTCCCAGCTGCGTGAGCTGCTTAACTGCCTCGGATCTTGTTTTCTCGTCTGTAAAGTAGGAATAACAGCAACTACACCTTCTTGGACCCAAGTGAGATCGGTGTGCACCCAGAGGGTGCTCAGCTCGGTTACTGTTGTGATCATTGCGGGATCTGAGGAAAGAAGGCCCAGGTGGTCACCCAGCCCAGCGGGCACACGGCTCCCTCTGTCAGGCGGCCCTGGTCTTGGCCTGCACGCCACTCCTGCGAGAGGGCCAGGAGCAGCTTGCTCTCCCTGGACAGCCCTGTGAGGGGACATTCCGGTGTGGAGCCCACCTGTCTCCCTGGTGCTTCTCATGATGAGGCTGGGGTTGTCCCGACAGGTGGGACATCTGTCTAGCCCTTCCCCACGGTGGCTCCTCAGGGGCACAACATGTTTTCCCTCCCCCCTCCTCACCACCCCTCTCTACTCTACACAAGGAGCGCCCCAAATCCCCTCCCTCAGCCTTTCCTTGGGGACAGAGCCAGCGCTATCAGACACCGATCACGGGCCACTTTGTTGATGCCCTTGGATAGTGAGAAAACACGGCAAAGGGCAGGCAGGTCTGGGCCCCCACTGACCCAACTCAGGCGGTTTCCCTGCTCTGCATGGAAGAGCAGGACTGAGTCCAAGAGCACAGGGTCAGTACCCAGAGGGGACCTGGGCAGGTTACTCGGCCTCCCCTCCGGACGGCACCTACCTCACCAGCGTGCGCACAGATCACCGGGCACGTGGTTGGCGCTCAGTCAGCGCCAGGCCTCTATTTTACACTTTTGAGAGGGTGTCTCTGAATCCTACCGCTTTGTAAAAGGACTGTCGGTGAGGCCACGCCCAACCACAGACCTGGCTCCTGCTCCGCTCATCACTGCCCCTCCCAGGGCGCGAGTGGGAAGCAGCGCTCACCGAGGCTGCCATTTGTGGGTATCTAACTCCTTGTGTTTGGTCTAAACAGAAGCTGTGATTCTCTCTATGTTCCTAGTAATTAGGCCAGAAAAACCACTGTGATGGTAGTGAGGGAGAGGTCGAAGGCTAAAGGCTGGGCAGCAACATGGAGTCTCTAAGATCTCCAAATTCCCCTCCGGGGCCCCCCACCCTCACCTCTTCCTCAGACCAAACACCTCCAGAGACCACAGGTGCTAGAGGGAGTCTAGACTGGTAGAGCTGGACAAACAGGTCTTTAGAAATAAAAAGTCCTGCCTCATTTGTTGGTGTTATATTATTAATAGAAGTATCTATGCCCAGCCAGTGTGGCTCGGTGGTTGAGCGTCAACCCATGCACTGAGAGGTTGCTGGTTCAATTCCCGGTCAGGGCACATGCCCAGGTTGTGGGCCTGATCCCTAGTGGGGGGCCTGCAGGAGGCGGCCAATCGATGTTCTCTCTCATCGATGTTTCTCTCTCCCTCTCCCTTCCTCACTCTCTCTAAAATCAATAAAGAAAAAAAGAAGTATCTAATGTCTGGTGATACAGAAGAATTATACAAAATTTTTAAAATCTTATTTATATGTCACCCTCTCCCCCAGTCTCCACAAGACAAAAGATAGTCCTTTTACTCTTTGGTGTACATCCTTCCAGATCCTTCTTAGGCTTAGTAAGAGGCAAGGCAGCCTTGGCTGGTGTGGCTCAGTGACTGGGCGTCACCCCGTGCACCGAAAGGCACATGCCTGGCTGCAGGCTCCACGCTCAGTAGGGGGCAGGCAAGAGGTACCTGATCGATGTTCTACTCTCACATGGGTTTCTCTTTCTCTCCCTCTCCTTTCCTCTCTCTCTAAAAAATCAATGAACAATCTTTAAAAAAAAAAGAAAAAAAAGGGCAATGCAGTGTAGTTCCAAAGTTCAGGCTCTCACGTTAGACTGCGTGGCTTCAGATGCTAGCTCTGTTCTTACTGACCAGTTACTTAACCCAAGCAGGCCGCTGTTTCCCCCCCAGGGAATTGGAGGCCACTGCATTTATATCATAGAGTGGCCCCGATAATTAAACAAGATAATCCACGTAAATCGTCTGGCACAGTGGCTGACGTGCGGAAGACTCAGTAAGCATTCATCCTTCTGTTGGTGTTGATGTTTTGCTTTTTGTTTTTTGTATCCTCACCCAAGGACTTTTTTGCATTTATCTTCAGATAGAGCAGGAGGGAGAGAGAAGGGAAGAGAGAGAGAGAGAGAAACATTGATGTGAGAGAGACACATTGAGTGGTAGCCACCTACACGACCCCAACCGGGGCGGGGACAAACTGCAACTGAGGTACGTGCCCTTAGCGGGAACCGAACCCAGGACTCTCTGGTCCATAGGCCAGTGCTCTAACTGCTGAGCCAAACTGGTCAGGGAGGTGTTGATGTTTTGTAACTTGCTTCTTTCACTAAATATTTCATGGACTCATTTTCACCCCAAAT